TTCGAAACCCGTTGGCGGCCATCTTTTTAAATGTTTATCGAGCATTAGCATAAGCATTATTCGAGAGAGTCACCGCTCGTATATGCTCTGGAGAGCAGAAACAGCTGCGTAGGGGCATCGTCGCTGTACTCGGGTCCACCAGAGCCTCCGGAGGGTTTCAGGAGTTTCACAATTTGCTCCAGGAGCTAGGTTTGGTGGACCTAACGGTGAGGACGCTGACGGGGACAGCGTAGGCCGTATAAGCCCTCGGCCTCGAGTGGTCTATGCCTGTCGAGCCCGCGCTCTACATCCCGGCGCGAGGTTTACCTTCGCCCGCATCCACCTAATCTGTCATTTATTTTTGTTTTGATAATAAATGAAGCCAGCCTCCAAAAGTGATTAATCTGTACTGTGATTTTTTTCTCTCTCTCACACATCACTGTCCAGACACGAACTTATATGTTGGTTGTCTTTACATTATAATAATATTTCATATAATCTAGATATGGAATAAATAGCATTCAATACAAAATGAATATGTCTCATATATTGAAATCAAGTTTTATGTGATAAAATATTTGCTTTGTTGTGCATTAGAACCACAGTCATATATTACAAAATAATTTATTGAAGCATCCAGATACTTCACCAAGTGACAGCAGCAAGCAGCCAGGCTCCTGATTGGTTAACGCGGCGCGAATTGACGCAGAAGTTCAGATTTTTCAACTCGGGCGGCAGACGCGAATTCGCGTCAAACGCGTGAATGCACAAATAGCACTAACTAAATCATTCGTGCGTAACGCGCTTAACGCGCCAGACGCTCAATTCGCCCCATTCGCGCGAACTTGACGCGCGAATGGGGCGTATTCGCGTCTACCGCGCCGCGCTCTACGCTTCATTCGCGCCGCAGGATTTTTTTACGCGCGTAACGCGTCTTTGCATTGACTTACCATTGAAATCACTCGCGCCTGACGCGCTATTCGCGTCCGGTGTGAACGCACCATTAAAGGGGCCATACCTTATTTCCACTCGTTACAGCGTCCATCCTACTGAACAGGTACCGGTGTACAGGGGGAGGGGATCCGGCCGTGAGTGCGAGCCATCTCTGCGTGAGTGCTATTCACGACAGTACAAGTGCTCCACAGCGACAAAAAGTACTCCACTGTTTGACAAAAACGGAATTCCTACTTAGTGCTGCTTTAATCAAGTGACAAAAACTTGCATCTGAGAAATATTGCCAAGATTCGTCCTTTTTTAATCTTTGGATGATGCTAAGAAACTCATTCATGCTTTTATCTTTACTCATCTTGATTATTGTAATGCTATGTTGCCTAAGGGTTCTATAGTGAAGTTACAATTGACAAAATGCAGCAGTACTAATGAATTTAAAAAGCAGAGAGCACATTACACCAGTTTTAATGGAATTGCATTGGTTAACCAGTTCATCAAAGAATTGATTCTAAGGATCTTTTATTGGTTTATAAAACCCATTTATTAAATAATCTGGCACCTCTATACATTTCAGACTGTCTGTCGAGATACGTCCCAAATCGTAGTTTAAGATCCTTTAATGCTGGTCTTTTGTTTTGACACATTATAGTAAATCATAAATGATCTGGTGGTACTTCTTTTAGCCACAATGCTCCAAAAATTTGGAATTGCCTACCAAATGAAGTGAAAGAGGCTAGTCAAGTCAAGTCACCTTTATTTATACAATATATATACTATATGTATAATATATATAATATGATAACATGAAAATAATACAAGTTTGTTTCTAGAAGAAAATTGCGTCATCGTCCACCTGAAGTAAGGCAGATCAATAATATTGTTGAATATTCAACATGACATCATGACTTTGCGTAAACATACACGCACAAACATACGCGTGTTATCTATACGCATTTTGAGCTATCCAGGTGTATGTGCACGCCGAAACGAACCGTCATCTTTTGCGTGTATGTCTATGCCGTTAAATGTCCGAGTGATTCCGCGTGTATGTACACACCGTTAAATGTCCGAGCGAAACTAAGCAAAATGTAGATCTACATCTGGGGAGCGATATTTTTTTTCCTAGGATGGTAGGGGAAGACTCATAAATGGTATTAACCCCAGTGACGGGTAGGTTTAGGGACGGGGTTGGGGTAGGTCATATATTTATATATACAGTAATGTAACGTTAAGTCAACAGCGTTGATAAACACGCTGAAAAGCGATTATGCGTGTTGATAGCACGCCAAAAATGGAAATACGAATTGGCGTGTCATACATACGCCATTTCATGAGATCAGTCTGGAATATTAAATGTCCCCAACTAAGCAAGCCAAAAGCAAAGTCGACAGTAGCAAGGAACCAAAACTCACTCAGGTGACAGAATGGAGAAAAAAACCTTGGGAGAACCCAGGCTCCGTCGGGGGCCAGTTCTCCTTTGGCCAATGAACGAACAGTGTATGATTATGATTCAGGCAACATTACAAGTCAGAAGTCAGATTAGATCAGAATTTTCACAATATTTTTCCAGTTCCATCTGGTTGGAGGTCGGAGTCATCACGCCGGTATGGAGATGAGTTTGGTAAGGTGTCGATGAGGCCTTCAGAGGGCTGATGAGGCTGGCACTTCAGGGATGCGTTGTGGACGTGTCCAGGCGCAGGTACACTGTCTGATCTGGATACGGCCCGGATCCGGCTGACTTCAGTAAACCTCAGAATAAATGGAAAGACTAACATTAGCGTAAATGCCATTCTTCTTATGATGTAACGAGTACATCGGGTGTTTTAGGAAGTGTCCCAGTTTCCGCCTGACCTAATCTATGTACCCTAATAATCATTTAACTGATTTGAATAATAGAAATGTATAATGTTCTATGTGTATGCCAGGTTGAAAAGATGTGTTTTTAGTCTAAATTTAAACTGACAGAGTGTGTCTGCCTCCCCGACAACGTTAAGGAGACTGTTCCAAAGTTTAGGTGCTAAATAGGAAAATGATCTACCACCAGCAGTTGATTTTGATATTCTAGGTATCAACTGGCCAGAATTTTGAGATCGCAATAGACGTGAAGGACTTGAAGACGTGAATCTAGCCTTGAGGTCATGAACGCATTAACTAACTGTTCCGCATTTTTCATTGATATGTCATGTAATTTAGATATATTTTTAAGATGGAAGAATGCGGTTTTACATAAACGTGAATTTCAAATGAAAGATTGCTATCAAAGAGCACACCCAGGTTCCTAACCGACGATGAGGACTTGACAGAGCAGCCATCAAGTGTTAGACAGTATTCTAGGTTATTAAGTGAGGAAGTTTTTTGGCCAATGATTAGAATCTCTGTTTTTTCAGAATTAAGTAGTAGGAAATTACTAGTCATCCACATTTTTATATCAGCTATGCATTCTGTTAATTTTGTGAATTAGTGCGTTTCGTCACGGCGCGAAGAAATATAGAGCTGAGTATCATCAGCATAACAGTGAAAACTAATGCCATGCTTCCTAATGAAATCTCCCAAGGTTAGCATGTACAGAGTGAACAGCAACGATCCTAGTACTGAGCCTTGTGGTATGCCATACTGAACTTTTGATCGATAAGACATCTCTTCATTTACTGCTACAAACTGATAACGGTCAGATAAGTATGATTTAAACCATGCTAGTGCAATTCCACTAATGCCAACAGAATTTTCAAGTCTATTTAAAAGAATGTTGTGGTCGATGGTATCAAATCCAGCACTAAGATCGAGTAACACTAATAGAGAGATACAACCACGATCGGATGATAAGAACAAATCATTTGTAACTCTAATGAGAGCTGTCTCAGTATGGTAAGGTCTAAATCCTGACTGGAAACCTTGCAGATACCATTTCTTTCTTAAAAGGAACATAGTTGTGAGGATACTGCCTTTTCTAGTAATTTTGATAAAAAGGGTAGATTCGAGATCGGCCTGTAATTGACTAATTCTCCAGGATCAAGTTGCAGTTTTTTTAATAAGAGGTTTAATAACAGCCAGCTTAAAAAGGATAGCAGCATTCATATTTTTAAAGGGAGGGTTACTCAAGACATATCTTTTTAAAGTTGCTAATCAGGATAACAATATGGTGTGGACTGGAGTTGTGTAAGTCTGTTTTATGTTTTATTTTACCTTCTGATTCTCATAAAGTTGTTTTATAAAGAAATTTAAAATACGTTTTATTTATATTTTATATTGATATATTGAGGTCAAACTACTGCCAATTTCTTTATTTTACATTGTGAACCTTTTGTTTTCGAATATTTTTTATATTGACATTGAAATTTGTTTTTATGCTTGTGAAGCACTTTGAGTTGCATTCCATGTATGAAAAGTGCTGTACAAAAATGTTTTTATTATTATTTTTATTCTTATAGGTCCCATGCAGGAGGTTTTATAAACTTCAATGTTTTTAAATCTGTCAAAACCATTGTTTCTTTCTAGAAAGAGCTATTCAAATGACGGTGCCTTGAGCAAAACCACTAATGAACTGTCTTATTCACAGGCTTGACATGAAATTGTCAGGTCCACCCTGATGACAAATCCACCCAAAGAAGAAAACAGTAAAGATTTAAAAGCTCAATTTTTTTTTTATCTTCTCCTCTTGATTATTCTTGTGCTCTATTATATTCAATTCAATTCACATTTATTTGTATAGAGCTTTTCACAGTACATATGAGCAGTGCAGTTTGGATATCCAGCTGTAAAAGATCAATTACCTTCTTGTTTTAATTTGAATTATTTTGGTTGTGTGTGTGTTTTGCGCAACCAAACATCATGATCTAAAGTCAAGCAGAATTCAAAGGAAGTAACTCAACCTGCCTAAGCTGTTTTCTTTGTTCCAAAAACGGTTTTACAGAATATAGTGCCTTAAAACACCAGAACGGTTGGTTTGGGTGGATGAAGAAGAAACCTTGGGAGGAACCAAAACTCAGCAGGGAGAGCCCACCCTTTTCTGGAACATGTTGAAATAATTTAGTAAAAAAGTAAATAATGGTGGGACGAACCAAAAGCACAGGTGCAGCTGCAGGTGGAGGCAACTCTAACATATATAAGTCTGATGGGTCACAGACAGTGAAGACTGAGGAACATTTAAAGATTCTCATTCATCTGTATCTCCAACAACAAAACGTCTGGTAAGACTAATTAAAATATGGTTTTTGCCCTTGTATGATTGCAGGTTCTTTGCTCAAATTGTTTACAGATGTACTTTGTCTAATAACAAACAATATTTCTTTATTCAATATTTCATTTTTCAATATTTCTGAAAAATGTATACTTTTTAATCTATTTGACCATATATATGTTTATAGAGCTAAAATCTGCTATTTTTTCATTTCATTTACAAGAAAAAGCATCAAAAGAAGCTTGATACACAATCACATTAAGGTGAATTCTCAGTAACTATAAGTGAATATAGCAAAATACAAACCGACTTATAGATGTACTTCAGCAAAAAGGTATGAGAGGGCTAACAAAACGTTTAAATTTATCTCTGCTTTCACTTTCCTTGTTTAATCTCCAGACATCAGAGAGGAGAGAGATGAAGAGCGTAAACCCAGTGAAGATGTTGGCCATGTTGGCGCTGGTTCTGCTGGTGTCCAGTGTGATTGAGGGACGTATTTTCAGGAAATGTGAGCTGAAGGCAAAGCTGGAGGCAGCTCGGTTTCATGAGATTAAGGTCATGGGAGAAAACATGGACACGAAAGATCTTGTAGCTAGACGTGAGTAATAGATTAACTTTTCTTTCAAATTCCCTTTTTTTCTTGCTCAGTCTTCAGATGCCATATTGACATGTCACATAATGGCTTCTAAAACCTTCATTACCTTCTTCCATCTGTTTCTTTCTATCTGAGGCAGTTGTCTGCAAGGCCAAAGACTCAGAATTCAACACCAACTGTATTAAAACCATGACTGAGGACAAGCCTGATGACACCCCACTACAGCCATCTATCTTTACCTTAAAGCCTACATTAAGTCCCACCACTGGTACCACCACAAACCCCACCACAGGATCAACTACAAGACCCAACACTGGCTCCACCGCAAGACCCACCACAAGTCCTACCACAAGACCTACCACAAGTCCCACCACAAGAGCCACCACAGGCTCCACCACAAGCCCCACCACAAGAGCCACCTCAAGTCCCACCACAGGCTCCACCACAAGACCCACCACAGGCTCCACCACAGACTCCATCACAAGAGCCACCACAGGCTCCACCTCAAGACCCACCTCAATCCCCACCACAAGTCCCACTACAGGATCAATTTTAAGCCCCACCACAGGCTCCACCTCAAGCCCAACCACAGGCTCAACAACAGGCCCCACCACAAGCCCCACCACAGGATCAACCACAGGCTCAACAACAAGCCCCACCACAGGCTCCACCTCAAGTCCCACTTCAAGTCCCACCACAGGCTCCACCACAAGACCCACCACAGGCTCCACCACAGACTCCATCACAAGAGCCACCACAGGCTCCACCTCAAGACCCACCTCAATCCCCACCACAAGTCCCACTACAGGATCAATTTTAAGCCCCACCACAGGCTCCACCTCAAGCCCAACCACAGGCTCAACAACAGGCCCCACCACAAGCCCCACCACAGGATCAACCACAGGCTCAACAACAAGCCCCACCACAGGCTCCACCTCAAGTCCCACTTCAAGCGCCACCACAGGCTCCACCTCAAGCCCAACCACAGGCTCGACAACAGGCCCCACCACAAGCCCCACCACAGGATCAACCACAGGCTCAACAACAAGCCCCACCACAGGCCCCACCACAGGCTCCACCTCAAGTCCCACTTCAAGCCCCACCACAGGCTCAACAACAGGCCCCACCACAAGCCCCACCACAGGATCAACCACAGGCTCAACAACAAGCCCCACCACAGGCTCCACCTCAAGTCCCACTTCAAGCCCCACCACAGGCTCAACAACAAGCCCCACCACAAGCCCCACCACAGGATCAACCACAGGCTCAACAACAAGCCCCACCACAGGCCCCACCACAGGCTCCACCTCAAGTCCCACTTCAAGCCCCACCACAGGCTCAACAACAGGCCCCACCACAAGCCCCACCACAGGATCAACCACAGGCTCAACAACAAGCCCCACCACAGGCCCCACCACAGGCTCCACCTCAAGCCCAACCACAGGCTCAACAACAGGCCCCACCACTGGCTCCACCACAGGCTCAACAACAAGCCCCACCACAGGCCCCACCACAGGCTCCACCTCAAGCCCAACCACAGGCTCAACAACAGGCCCCACCACTGGCTCCACCACAGGCTCAACAACAAGCCCCACCACTGGCTCCACCACAAGCCCCACCATAGACTCCACTACAGGCTCAACAACAAGCCCCACCACTCTCTCAACAACAAGCCCAACCACTGTCTCAACAACAAGCCCAACCACTGTCTCAACAACAAGCCCTACCACAGGCCCCACCACAGGATCAACCACAGGCTCAACAACAAGCCCCACCACAGGCTCAACAACAAGCCCCACCACAGAGTCCACTACAGGCTCAACAACAAGCCCCACCACTGTCTCAACAACAAGCCCAACCACTGTCTCAACAACAAGCCCAACCACTGTCTCAACAACAAGCCCAACCACTGTCTCAACAACAAGCCCAACCACTGTCTCAACAACAAGCCCAACCACTGTCTCAACAACAAGCCCAACCACTGTCTCAACAACAAGCCCAACCACTGCCTCAACAACAAGCCCAACCACTGTCTCAACAACAAGCCCAACCACTGTCTCAACAACAAGCCCAACCACTGTCTCAACAACAAGCCCAACCACTGTCTCAACAACAAGCCCAACAACTGTCTCGACAACAAGCCCAACCACTGTCTCAACAACAAGCCCAACCACTGTCTCAACAACAAGCCCAACCACAGTCTCAACAACAAGCCCCACCACAGAGTCCACTACAGTCTCAACAACAAGCCCCACTACAGGCTCAACAACAAGCCTCACCACTGGCTCAACAACAAGGCCCACCACAAAATCAAAGCCTCGCACAATCATCCCCCCAAGGAGTTCCTCACCCCAGAGACGCCGCCGTCACATTCCCTTTTTACCCAAACCCCATGAGAATTTCCCTTTTTACCCAAAGCCCATTTTTGAGAAGGAGCCAAAGAGGCCTGTCTGGCGCCTGTATGGAGTGTTTCAGCTCAGTGATCAGTGGGCCTGTGATTCCGGCCTGGTGCCATCATTCAATATTTGCAACATGAAATGCTCTGGTAAGTTAGAGGGAAAAAAACATATCAAATGTTTTAATTTTTTTTTACTAAATACAGATATAAATATGAACTTTTAACTTTTTTTCTACCAAAGCTTTTTTGGATGATGACATCACAGATGACATTGCCTGCCTGAAAACCCTGATGAACACAAATACTTACTTGTAAGTACGCACAAGCTCAAACAAACACATTAACAAAACACAAAAACATGCTTACAATCTTATTTTAGCTACAGAGTGTTTTAAAACTTTAATTCAAAATAGGATAAAATTATTTTATTTATGATAGTTCTGTATATTAACAAATGTGTTTACACCTTAATAAATTGTTAGCAAATTAAAGAAATTTTAACTATAAGAAGTATATCTTCACTAAATATAACATTCATGAGTCTGTGCCTTCTTTTGTAACAGGGTACCTAAACCCAAAGTCAACCCCTCTGATTTGAAGATGATGTAAGTATTTTTGTAAGACTTTATGATTGTAGTAATTATGCTGCGTTTCCATGTAAACCTTAGTAGATCGAACCATTGCCACTAATGGTGTCTCCGATCAACTTAGCTCACAATGCTTTTGAGAAATACATGCTAATTATAATAATACACAAAATATATATAAAAAATAAGTATATAGTAATATATTTTAGTAATATTTTATGGAACAAATAATATTTAGGGGTTGTTTTGCTTATTGAGTAGCTTTATGTATGTTTTAATATATTCCAATTTTCAACATGTTGCATGACATGTTGAACAGAAGTTCAACTAGTGTACTGTAATTACTAGTGTTTTTGTTTCATAGGACAAAATCAGAGTAATTAATTATTAAATGTTAGACATAATAGGCTTAAGAAATCAAATCATGCCTGAATGTGCCTGTATTCTATGTGTTACAGCTTGGGGATGTTGTTGGTGAACGGGTGCCGCTTTGTTGTTCCCTCATTGTATTTCACTGAGTGTACATCTGGTAACTTTCATTGAATGGTAATTGGGTCAAATAAGGGTTGACAACTGTGTGAGTTTAAATATCTAAAGACTCTTAAAAATGTTGTATTAAATTGTGTATTAAAGCACTTTATTGCTGTTACATTTTTTATCTAAGCATTTAATGAAAATATCTCTGTTCCTTGCATTTTATATATGGTCACTTTATCATTAAAAAAATTACAAAATTGTAATACTCAAAATGACCTTTCTTTCTGCACTTGTGCTGTTGATTCATCCCACTATCCATACTGATGACAGTTTGATTGTATGCGCCTCTTTTCGGCTTTTGAAATTTCTGTACAGAAACACACACATTCACAGTAACATTTCCATTTTAAATAGAAAAATGCTGCCGTAGGACCATTACATTTTTATAACTCCTTTTTTTAAAGTATTTTCCTTAGGTCGATCTTTTGGAAGGGTTGAACTGAAAATAAGGCTACTTGATCAAATTCGTACTCTTAAAAACTATGGCTGCAAGGGGTTATTTTTTTTATAAATTATAAAAATTATTTGGAAAATTATCAGGCAATGACTTGTGTGCGCACGAAGGTACCACACGAAACTGATTTCAGACAGGCAACGTAACGGTTTAATGATCTACTACAGCAAAGTAGAGAGAGCTTTGGTGAAAACTAAGTGAATATTTAATGACTACAATAGTAATTTCTCGCTAGAAATGACATCAAAAGTGGAAAAACGTACATTTACACACAAACTGACAATCAAACGCACCTTTCAGACACCATCTTTATTTATTTTTTTAGCTCAACTGTCACAAAATGGAACGCACAGGATTGTGGGATATCAAAGGCAGCGAAGCATCTATGATCTATGTTTAGTGCATAAGAAACAAATGTAGAAAAAAACGTTTTTGAAAAAATATATTTTATTCATGTTATGCTATATCCTCTGTAGAGGACACTAGGACTCAGTTCACCAAGACTTCATGTCATAAAATGACATGAAATGACATGTAGCCTCTGGCAAAAACAATGGGAATTTTTTTTCATTGCCCAATCAATTTTTAGGTTTCAGGTTTTTTATTTTAAACCAATCTTTGTATAAAGATGATTCTCAACAATGTTCTGAAAGATATAATGGAATTAATTGATATACCATCTTCCTTTATCCAATATGTGGGTAAAAGCTGTATCTAATTTGCATATCAATGTGTTCTTGGGCCAACATGCTATGAAAAAAGAAGTGTAATAAAGGGTGTAATAATTGGAAACATTTTCATAATAATATCTAATATTTCATAGGAATATTGATTTATAATTTATTTCCCTATTCACTTGTTGTGTCTCCCAAAATGCCTGATAAACATGATTTATGTCCTGTGCCAGTTGCATAAACTTAGTCATTATGTTAAGGCTGTGTCTTAAGATCTAATATGACCCATCAGCAGTTAGTCAAGGGACGTTAGTCTTACTTTTCGGTATCAAATTAGGCCAATGTACGTTTTTATGTAACTGACTTAAAAAAGTTATGAAAAAAAAAATCAATGACTAACTTGTAAGACTAGTCTAAGCGGTTTATGCGGCCCCAGGGGTCTCTACAGTGACGTATAAAATCAATGCCTTGTTTCATAACAGAAAGTCATATTTTGATAAGAAACACGATTATTTTCTTGAGATGTTGATTTATGTCAAACAATAAAAAAGTCATATTTAAATAATAATTACGAAATATTATCATATTTCCAATAGAGTGGTACATTTGATCACTAAATTAAGTCAGTCTTTTTAAAGATCAAGGAGAAGTTGTTGTCATGGTAAAACTCTTTGCAGCAGATCCAGACTAATGCCGCGTTCCAGGCAACCTGTAACCCGTGTTTTTCCAACCTTATACCCGTGAAAGTGCACTGAAACGGCAGTCAAACCCGTGACTTCCCACCCGTGAACTCGTACTAGATCGATGTAGCCTACTCCCAGTTACGAGTTCTGACGTCACATAGCCCGCAAAACCATACAAAACAACAATGGCAGCCCCTACGGATGCAGTGTTTCTGCAGGCGGTACACAGTGAGAATACACTTTAGGACAATATAACGTTGCAGTCAAATTAATAATAATATAATAATAATGATAATAATACACACAACACAAGATTATGTATTACAATGTTATGTGTCTGAAACAATAAGTATGTATATACACACGATTATGTATTACAATGTTATGTGTCTGAAAAAATAAGTATGTATATTGCGCTCAGGTAGTTTGGCGTGACTGGCCTGGAATGCTACAAAGTCGTGAGTCGTGGTTTGAAGTCGTGATTTACGTGCTCAAAAACCTGCCTGGAACGCAGCATTAAACTGTGACGTGTATGGTGTCAGATAAATTCACTAAAATATAATGTAGTGGACTTTTGTCCATTGTAGTGGACATTATAGTGGACAAAAGTCTATTCCTGGGTCCCAGGAGGATTATGTGTATATCATATTTAACGGTTCTGGTAAATATTAAACAGAAAAACACCGGAAGTGAACGCGCGCTGCGCGTGACGCCGATCACATGACGCCCTGTCAACATCCAACATGGCTGACGCGGACAGCCAGCGATGTGTGAGCGCTTTATTGAACGGAATCACACAGAGACTTTATTACGGCAATACAGAAATCACAGAGGAGTTTCTGAAGAATGAGCTCTACGCCGAGACGACGCAGGACGAGTTCCGCGCGCTGCATGACAAGATGAGGTCGCTTCTCAAGGTATACACTCACTCACTATACGAGTTTTACATTATAACGGGGACGTTTATTGATATTTCTGCACCAAAATACTAACGGAAACATTTCATAGAGAACTTTAATTGTTTAAAACTAAATGCCGGTGTAGATTGCATTGTCTGTCCACCGCTAGAGAGCAGCAGATTTCTTGCAGCACCAATGCTAGTTTGTCAGGTCGTTAGATGTCACTTGCTGAACGTGTATCATTCCACAATGCGTTCATTCAGGTAGTATTCAGTGTAAACTACGGTATACTAATCGACGTTATGGATTTTTTGATGGCTGATATTATAAAGCTCATATTATGTGGTAATCTAAAGATAGTAAATAACTCATATGCATAACAATTGCTGGCTGCAATAAGATTTATATTTGTTTTACATAATTACTAAATTACAAATAATTGGATAATAATTTACAAATAAATATACAAAAATACTCTTTTAAATATGTAAAATAAACAGATTTATACTTTAGAAGCGTTTTGGTTCTGTTATCCTAATTTTCAAATAAAGAAATAGTTTAAAAAAAGTTACAATATTGTTATTTTTACTAACAGTAAGGCAAACTCTATAATACATTTCATATACTGTTCATTTTGTTTAGTAGTTCTGTCTAATATTCGGTCTAATTTTCCATACATATGCAAAATTACTTTTAAACAGTGACTTGTCAAAGAAGGCAGCAACAAATAACATAAGATCCAGTTTATATTATCACATATAACGTTACGTTATATCGCGAAAGTAACTTAAATTAATTTAGTGATGGGACCATGAGCAACTTTAAAATATTTAGCAGGTTATTCCAAGTAACACAGGGATTATACTTAAATCTGTCTTTCCCAAGCTCTGTTCAGACCTGAGAAACATTGGGAAATAACAGGTCATATGAGAGAAGATTATAGTGTACATTAGTGTTAAACGAAGACGGTAATCAAATGAAGACGGAGAATGAGCTCCTGTGTATCTGCGTCTTCAGCGCTGTCAAAATAAAAGTCTGCGTCTGACTCCTATCAGCCAAACACTAAAACTTGTCGGCCGATACTGATAATTAAAAATGCCAAATATCAGCATTCATCCCATACTACCCCCATATAAGCTGATCTGTCTGTCCCTCCTGCAGTCCATGGCATCAGCGGACATGGATCAGACTCAGCTGGAAGCGTTCCTCACGGCGCAGACGCGCAGGCAGGGTGGCGGCGGCGTGAGCCCGGAGCAGGCGGCCGCTCTGGGACGCTTCTGGAAGACCCACCGGACGCGGGTGCGAGAGAGTCTGTTGGCTCAGAGTCGCTGGGAGCCGGGCCTCAGGGGCCTGAAGTGGAGGGTGGACCTGCACACGTCCGCCAGCAGGGGGCAGGTGTCCAACAGCCCCGTGGCACTGGTGGAGCTAGAGCTCGGCCGCACCGGAGAGGTGAGAAATGAGAGTTCAAGTTATGATCTCCATACTGCAGTGTTTTAAAAGCACAAAAGAGGTTTTTTTTCACCGCCCAGCTCTGGTGCTTGAATTTAGCATGTCTTTGCATGCTAAAATCAGGGAAGTGTGTTTGGCTGAGGCTACGTCTACAATGGGTGTGTGATATATATATCGTCTACGATAATATCGTGATGGTTGTTTTAACGGTGTGCGATCTGACAATATCGAGTATGTCCCTCACTTTACAAAAACACACCTAGAGAGCGCACACATACATCACACACTATGTGTAGTCTAGTAGGTTAGAGTACTGTGTGTGAGCATTTAAAGTCTACGCTTTCACTGTGTGATTTAGTTTATTAAAATGCATTTAGAATGCCCTCAATATTCAAGATAAAGGGCAAAATTACCTCTGTTTGTCTTTTATATTTATATAATTTAATATAGTTATTCAATATCGCACGAAGAGTGCTGTTTTTTCTTCAAATATCAGCATGATTCACAAATGTGATTTTCAGTTTAATGAACAAGAAGTTAAAGGGTTAGTTCACCCAAAAATGAAAATTATGTCAGTAATTACTCACCCTCATGTTGTTCCAACCCCGTAAGACTTTCGTTCATCTTTGGAACTCAAATTAAGATATTTTTTATTAAATCTGAGAGCTGGATCACTCCTAGAAGTCGTTATTTTTGTTTGTTTTTTGCGCACAAAAAGTATTCTCGTCGCTTGATAAACTTAAGATTGAGCCACTGTAGTCACTCTGACTATTTTAACGATGTCTTTCATAACTTTTCTGGGCCGGTCAGTTTCGATCCCTTATAAGCCTATGGAGGAGTGATCCAGCTCTCAGATTTAATCAAAAATATCTTAATTTGTGTTCCGAAGATGAACGAAAGTCTTACGGGGGTTGAACAACATGAGGGCGAGTAATTACTGACCTAATTTTCATTTTGGGGTGAGCGAACCCTTTAATATACTTACATTTTAGACACAATATTCCCTGTTTTTGTCATATTTTGCCAACGAAAATAGTTTCGGTGTTTCGTTTCTGAATGAACTCGAAAGATCATGAAAGAGCTCGGCCGCACCGGAGAGGTGAGAAGTGAGGGGTTGATCTCCACACTGCAATGTTTTATAAGCTCGACTTAAGCATGTTTTCCGCATGCTAAAATCAGGGAAGTGTGTGTTTCTAATCCACAGGGAAAATGCTTAAAGTTAATGAACTGGAAGTTGCAACCCACTTTCGTGTTGTGACGTATTTCCAAGTGAAACCGAATATTGAATAGAGGGCAGGTTTTACGTTAGCGCACCTCCTCTCCATCCCTCGCTCATAGCAGACTGACGGTTGGAGGGAAGTGGTTAGAGATACTCAACCCAAAAGAAGGAATGCCATTCCAGAGCAGAAGCACATTTTTTTACGGTTTTGATTAAAGATTACTACGACAAACAACATTTTCACAGATTAATCGGCCACCATAAGACTAGCAATGTGCGCTAACAAAGTAAATCGGGTCAGTTTTGATTTCATGATGACTTTAAATCACCTTACTTCACTTGCGTAAAACGTAATGAAATCCCACGAGATGATACAGAGAGAGAGCAGATGTATTAAAGTTCTCACGCTATTTTTCTGGCACAATCCTTTTCTTATCAAAATATCACATTCATAAATATCCCACCACACACTGTTGTGTCCAGGCTGCACTCTCAATCGCATGGTCCAAAACGCAATTGATCTTTCGCAGGGAGTTTGATTGACAGGCAATCTGACCAATCATAATCCGCCATCAGCCGAATTTTTGTCCAACTAAGCAGTCAGGAGTATGGAAGCTTGTTTCCGCCACTGAATAAAAAAAATAATTGCGACTTTTTATCTCACAATTCTGACTTTATAACACATAATTGCGAGTTTACATCTCGAGATTCTGACATCTTTTCTCAGAATTGTGAGATATAAAGTTGCAATTGCGAGTTATCAGGCCAATTCTAAGGGAAAAAACTCAGAATAGTTCCCCTCAGAATAGTTTATATCTCACAATTCTGACTTTACAACACGCAATTGCGACTTTATATCAATCAATTTTGACTTTATATCTCGCAATTCTGACTTTATAACACGCAATTGCGACTTTATATCAATCAATTCTGACTTTATATCTCGCAATTCTGACTTTATAACACACAATTGCGACTTTATATCAATCAATTCTGACTTTATATCTCGCAATTCTGACTTTATAACACGCAATTGCGACTTTATATCAATCAATTCTGACTTTATATCTCGCAATTCTGACTTTATATCTCGCAATTCTGACTTTATAACACGCAATTGCGACTTTATATCAATCAATTCTGACTTTATCTCACAATTCTGACTTCACAACACGACTTTATAACACGCAATTGCGACTTTATATCAATCAATTCTGACTTTATAACACGCAATTGCGACTTTATATCAATCAATTCTGACTTTATAACACGCAATTCTGACTTTATATCAATCAATTCTGACTATATCTCACAATTCTGACTTCACAACACGCAATTGCGACTTTATATCAATCAATTCTGACTTTATATCTCGCAATTCTGACTTTATAACACGCAATTGCGACTTTATATCAATCAATTCTGACTTTATATCTCGCAATTCTGACTTTATAACACGCAATTGCGACTTTATATCAATCAATTCTGACTTTATAACACGCAATTCTGACTTTATATCTCACAATTCTGACTTCACAACACGCAATTGCGACTTTATATCAATCAATTCTCACTTTATAACACGCAATTGCGACTTTATATCAATCAATTCTGACTTTATATCTCGCAATTGCGACTTTATATCAATCAATTCTGACTTTATATCTCGCAATTCTCACTTTATAACACGCAATTGCGACTTTATATCAATCAATTCTGACTTTATATCTCGCAATTCTCACTTTATAACACGCAATTGCGACTTTATATCAATCAATTCTGACTTTATAACACGCAATTCTGACTTTATATCAATCAATTCTGACTTTATATCTCGCAATTCTGACTTTATAACACGCAATTGCGACTTTATATCAATCAATTCTGACTTTATAACACACAATTGCGACTTTATATCAATCAATTCTGACTTTATAACACGCAATTCTGACTTTATATCAATCAATTCTGACTTTATATCTCACAATTCTGACTTTATAACACGCAATTGCGACTTTATATCAATCAATTCTGACTTTATAACACACAATTGCGACTTTATATCAATCAATTCTGACTTTATAACACGCAATTCTGACTTTATATCTCACAATTCTGACTTCACAACACGCAATTGCGACTTTATATCAATCAATTCTCACTTTATAACACGCAATTGCGACTTTATATCAATCAATTCTGACTTTATATCTCGCAATTGCGACTTTATATCAATCAATTCTGACTTTATATCTCGCAATTCTCACTTTATAACACGCAATTGCGACTTTATATCACACAATTCTGACTTTATAACACACAATTGCGACTTTATATCAATCAATTCTGACTTTATATCTCACAATTCTGACTTTATAACACGCAATTCTGACTTTATATCAATCAATTCTGACTTTATATCAATCAATTCTGACTTTATAACACGCAATTCTGACTTTATATCAATCAATTCTGACTTTATATCTCGCAATTCTGACTTTATAACACGCAATTGCGACTTTAGATCACACAATTCTGACTTTATATCTTTATAATCCTCTCTGTAAACTCGCAATTGTGAGAAAAAAAGTCCGCATTGTGAGATAAAAAGTCGCAATTACCTTTTTTATTTTTCATTCTGTGGCGGAAACAAGCTTCCATACAGGAGAGTTAGTAGATTAAATTAACATTTGACCTTGAAAAACAGTGTGTACTGACGTCTTTCCGCGGTTAAAACAACATTCCTTCTGATGTTCATTCATGTTTATTTGACGCTATAAATGAACTAGAAGGAAGAGATGATAGGTTCACGAGCAGCTTTAACTGAGCGATCTGTCACGACACATTAAAGAGACGAAACTGTATTTATTGTTTAAATTTCTTTTAAAATGACCAAATTTGAAAGTTGAGACTTTGTATCATAAAGTAACCTGCTCTGTCCTGTCTGTCGACTTTATTTCACGCAATTCTGACTTTACAACACGCAATTGCGACTTTATATCAATCAATTCTGACTTTATAACACGCAATTCTGACTTTATATCAATCAATTCTGACTTTATATCTCACAATTCTGACTTTATAACACGCAATTCTGACTTTATATCAATCAATTCTGACTTTATATCTCGCAATTCTGACTTTATAACACGCAATTGCGACTTTAGATCACACAATTCTGACTTTATATCTTTATAATTCTGACTGTAAACTCGCAATTGTGAGAAAAAAAGTCCGCATTGTGAGATAAAAAGTCGCAATTACCTTTTTTATTTTTCATTCTGTGGCGGAAACAAGCTTCCATACAGGAGAGTTAGTAGATTAAATTAACATTTGACCTTGAAAAACAGTGTGTACTGACGTCTTTCCGCGGTTAAAACAACATTCCTTCTGATGTTCATTCATGTTTATTTGACGCTATAAATGAACTAGAAGGAAGAGATGATAGGTTCACGAGCAGCTTTAACTGAGCGATCTGTCACGACACATTAAAGAGACGAAACTGTATTTATTGTTTAAATTTCTTTTAAAATGACCAAATTTGAAAGTTGAGACTTTGTATCATAAAGTAACCTGCTCTGTCCTGTCTGTCGACGCGTTGTCAGTTTCCTCTTTAGTCCGCAATGTATTTTTCACTGCGCGAGAACATGTTGTGTGGCGTGAGAGCGGCGTGGCTCGTCGGACATAGCAACAGTAACTAAAGGGGGCGGGTCTTTGCGAACGGTCAATTGTCATCATGTTTTGCGGCTGGACAGCAATTGCGAGGAATTCAATATGAAAA